TTGACATTGCCGGGAAGGGAGAAGGTATCGCCCGCAATCGTGATCTCGGCCGGGCCGTGAGACGGGGCCGGGACCTGGCCAGGAGCCGCCGCCGCCGCCGCTGCCGCCTGCTCGGAAGAAGCCGGCACGGCTTGCGGCAGCGGCGCCGTTCCCGCGGGGCCCACGGAGGACGGTGGGGCGGCGTGGAAGGCGGTAGAGGCGGCGGTGGCGGCGGCAGCGGCGGTGGCGGCGGCTGCTGCGGCTGCGGCGCTGAAGGTTCCGAGGGGATCTGCTACCTTGGGCGGGTTGCCGGGGACGGGGGCGGCTGTTTCGCCTGCAAGAACACCGCCGCCGGCGTGCTGGGAGGAACGAGATAAATCAAACAAACAAGCAGACTCGTTTAAGGGTGCCGACTATCAAAACGTGGGATCAGCCGGATCAAGCTACTGCTTCTAGTAGTTATTTTGCACAGGGAGAGCGCGGCCAGCGGGGCTGGTTGCGGAGGGCCCACAGTATAGCACCAAAACGCGTTGCTCTATTCCAGAAGACTCCTCCTCCCGACAGAGGAGTGCGTAAAGGGCACAGACAACGACAGCGGACCAACGGTTGAAGTTCATGCGACATGGCCTGGTGTAACAAGCTAAATAAAAATGTGGGCGAACGCGCTGCTGTCCTCTAGCTGATGCTGTTGCTGCTCGCGCGCGGACTACACGACTTCGGCACACTACTGCTGTACCGGTATATCGGCGGTTCGGTTCTTAAAAGGCGTGGAAGAGGAGTCGCGTTGCATCAGAGGGTTCGACCTTTTTCCCGTTGAATAGAGATTCTTACAAAGGCGAGAGATCCAAGGTATTGTATATATGACCACGGGTTGGAGTACACGGCACAAGTGCTGCGAGCGCTGATTTCAAGTGACGACCAAAAAAAAAAAAACGAACGGGCGAGGATAAACGCCTGCACGTCAGGGATGCATGCATCCCGTGCGAGGTTTGGATACTCTTTGATAATAACTCTTTAGGTCTAACTGATGTTGAACGTAGAAAGGCTAGGTTCCTCACGCGAGCAAGGCCAGGTTCCTCACCCCAACCAATTCTAACCTTAACCCTCACCCACGGCCAACGCACGGCCTAGCGGCCGCGAACTGGGCGAGCACGCGGCTGCGCCGCGTTCTCGGAATGTGGAACGGCGACAGGGCGCTGGAGAGGAATCGGCCGTTAGAACCAATGCCAAACAAGGCCCGACCAATCAGAAAGCGTTATTCCTGAGGATCTACTATCAATGTGTAAACACTACTGCTGTCCCGTGTGCCCATCTTGCTTCCATATCGCGGGCTATTTGTGCTCCCAACCGGATCCGTACGCCCAGAGAGAGGGTCTGGAAGCCTGGACTACTGTGTGTGTTGCTTCACATATAACCAGATGACCCAACGGAATATACGCCGATCTCTCAGCGAGATATTCGCGAACACGGGGTGTATCTCTGTAGTTGGCAATGAGCGTGGAAATCAGCTGACCAATGAAAATGACGCGGAGTCTTCCGGCGGGATAGTCTTTTTTTTTTTTTTGTGTGTATTTTTTTTTCCTAATGAAAACGCAAACAAGGTTCCAAAGGGCACTCCCGGCGGGGGAAACCCGGAGTGAATATAAGACAGTGCTTAGACCACCACCACGTACAAGCAGTTAGCATTCCTGGTGCGCTGGAACTCTAAATTCTTGGCCGCTGCACCGCAGTGTATGTATTACTACTTCTGTAAAGTTGTGGTCTGTAATGGGCTCTTGAGCTTATTATCGCATAGATACTATTTTTCGGTTGGCAACATAATTAGCGGCATCGTGCGTCAAGCCGTGAAAAATAAGTGCAGACATCAGCGTGTAAAATCTTCCAGCCCTTCCGCTTTAACCAAGCAGCCGGCTCTACGGTCCTCCGCAGAGCTTTCGCGGTACAGGCTACACTGCTCGTGCTCTATTTTGCAGGTTTAAATTTGTGGCAACAAGTTGCGAGGAGCATTCAATTAAGTACAGCATGCTCGTTGCTTCTCTCTACCCTGTACGGGTTGTACGTCTGAAGAGCCCAATGTAGGCTAAGCATAACCAGGCAACCGTTAGCTGCTGGCACACACGCATCAGGCGGTCTTGACAACCAGCAAACCAGCAGGGTTGTAATGTTTGCAACCGAGACTAGAGCCAAAAACCCCCACACACATGAGCGCCAGCGAGGAGGCCATCAACAGCCGAAGATTTTCTCGGTGAAAGGGAGGTGGTGTAATTTACGTCGATCAGCCTGATGGCACGTGTTGACAAGCGACAAAATCGTTTCGATGAGACTGCGTTCGCCCTCATCACAGAAGCGAAGCATCTCCGCTGAATCCTGGGATTGGGGCGTGCGCCGTGGGGTGAGGTGAAGATGGCTGCTGTGTGTTACACACACGACGCCGCCGCCTTCAGCCCGGCCACCGCGCACGGTAAAACAAGCCGGACGCGGGCAGGCATTTTTCTTTCAATAGCCCCAAGAGAGAGAGGAGGGCTCAAAACTTTCGAGCTTTCGATCACAACAGGGCGAGCTCACCGGTGCGTCTGGTGGGACGGCGCCTCCGCCATGCGGGGCCGACATGTTTATCGTTGGTCTATTTCTCCCAAAGATCTCGGTGCTCTCTCTCTCTCTCCCTGTCTCCCGATGCTGCTCGGCTCTCCCCTCGAAAACACAGCCCTATTGTTGTCCCTCTCTCGCGTTGGCGCCTCGACGTAGCGGAGACAGCCGGGAGGTTGAAAAAGGCGGCGGAGCCAAACAAACGCCGGCCGAGCCGCGGCCTCCAACCCTTCGGTAGATCTGGGGTTAACGTGCCAAACAGCCTAGGGATGATTACGACGTCGGCGCACTAGGGTGGCAGTAACGACAAATCGGTTACTCAAAGCTTGCCCCCCACACATGAGAGAAATAGAGAGGGAGAAAACCAACTTGATTTTAGACAGGTTCGAATCATCCCCTGTCCCCGCGGGGGAGTTCCAGTGGAATGTTTCCACCGCAGAGTAGCTCTGCACGCACCCAGAGCCCGCATCCAAACCCAATGGCCCATTGGTACCGCCGCGGCCCATTGGTACCGCAGTATAACAGTATAGGGCGACAGGGTGGGAGGCAGAGGGTAAGCCGACGAACAGCGAGCTTGTGCGTCTTTCGCAAAGAGCTGGCACTCGCTATCTCTGTCGACAAAGGGGTCACCATACTCTGCAGGCACTCTCCCTCTCGCGCGCGCGATGATCCGGCGGGCATTGCTGCAGCAGCATGCCGAACTTCCCATTACAGCAAGGCGGGAAGTTCGCCGGGCGCTAGGCACTACAGTTACATCTGCTGGAGACGAAAAGGTGTCCGTGTGTGTCTGTGTATGTATGTATCTATGTTGTTGGCGCTGGCTGATGCTGCTGCTACTGCGGGTGATGTTGCCCTTGCAGACTTGCATTGAACATCAACATCGCGATGTTCTGGTTGGAAACAACTCCGCGAGACGCGAGACGTTCTCTTTTCTTATTTTTCGCAGGAAGGCCGAAGATCGGAACGTGTCACATCGTGTCTGTTGGGCTATTGTGGGAGCCTCCACGCGGTGCATCTGTTGACAGTTGTGACGCTCGAGATGTGTCACCTGTTGCACGGATTTGGTTCACAAGCTGCCGCTTTGTCGCCATTGGTGGTCAAACTCATGTACACGCACGTTACAGGGCTAACGCCGTTGGATATATATATGGTGCACACCACGCAAGATATTTTAGGAGAGATGCTGTTTGTACTTCTATCTGACACGCACACTTTTCCGCATAGCTCCGGTGATGCTGTGTTTACGGCTCAACACGAACCCGAAAACGCGGAGACGCCCTCGGCACAAGTGAAAAGATAAAGATGACAGAAATGCCACATACACACCCCAACATGATCATCGTCACCAGGGGGTGTTATCTTGCGTGTAAAAATGCCGTAGGAACGGGAAGAGGAATTAAGGAATAATAAAAACACACACAGAAAGACTAAATACTCATTCGAGATATACCCACAGTCGAACGGGATGTGGTGGAGTCTTTTCAGTGAGTGGAGGGAAACCGGCTGGGTACTGGATGTATTTCGAGTCTTTTTAACTCTATACACTGATGATTTATACCAGTGATGCCAGCTGGTGCTAAGTACAAAAACATCTGTATAGGTAACTTACATTTTACAATACATCCCCTGTAGTTCTCTACTGGGTCAACGACAAAATATCGGAGAGAATCCCTCCGTGTGTCGTGTATTGTAAAATGTAACCTTCACAGGGGACACGGCGCAGTGTCTATTGACAGCTTGCTGGTTTATTAAACATAATAGGAATAATATTAATATTGAAAAAATCGTGGAAGATGGAACGAAGTCTACAGCAGTACATCACTCGTTTTTCAAATCTACAGATTTTTGAATTTCACGGACAGCAGGTGTTTCCCGCCGTTTTTTGAATTTACAAACCGTATTTGATCCTTTGGGGTAACGTATCAGTGATGTTTACAGCAGTAGATGAGAATGATATACCTGGTGCATGGTAGGTAGGGCATAGCAGTCAGTTTGTATCATGTTAGCTTGTTTCCTGTTATGTTGGGTGTTGGTAAACACCATCAGTAGAGCACGGAAAGTTTTCAAACGATTTACATCCAATGTGGTGGTTGTTGTCAACTTCCCTGGTGTTCCTCAGAGCGGTTTGTCGAGATATCTTGTGGCAACCATGTCGTAATCACGTTGTAGAGCATCCGCCATGAAGGTCAGCAGCAGCAGCGAGTAGCAGTTGGTCTCTCCGTGTGGAGCAGTGGTGTGAAAGCAGGCCAAGGTCAGACCATGTTCTTCAACGGGCAACAAATTCCAACTAGCGGTATTCAACCCGAAGAGCGAGCAATAAGGCACTGTAGATACCGTGAGGCACTGCGAAAAGAAACGACACGTAGTGCACCGCTGCTGAGGGACAAATCACGTCCGACATAGATACATTCTACGCCGTTCGGTAGGAATCATCTGATGTAATGTGCTGCTGAGATCGGCTTGTATACTCTACCACTAATAAAACGTGTTGCACCACCGGCACGTCTTTTACGCGCATTTACGATGCGTTGCGTAGCATTCACCGTGCAAGCCGCGACATATCCTCAGCTCGGATTCGATGCGCCTACTGATTGCTTGGTCCGAAGCATGCATAATTATGTAGTTCGAAAGCATTCGTTGTGCACATTTTGCCACCTCGGGAAAAGTTGATCGGTGTGAGTGCGAACGGTCGCGACAGGACCGCCCCAAATAGTCAACACAAACCCACCGTCGGGCAGTTATAGCTATGCCTGCTGTTTGTTGATCGGACGCGCAACGTAGAAGAACTGGTTCTCACGTGCAAGACTTTTTGGTCAAGAAATTGATTGAGCCGCGCGACACTTGACCGCCGAAACAGAGCGCAAGGGAGGTGCGGGTTCTGTGCGGGTCCGTTTGTATATTTCCTGCCGGTGCAAGGGGGAGGAAAATCTCTGCATCAATGTTTTTTTTTGTAGTGGCAAACCAACAAGACTTTCTTTCAGATTGCGCCACCTCTATTTCAGTAGCCTGCTAGGGGATAAAAACCTCAGGCTGGCAAAAACAGAACGCCGTCTTGACCGCAAGAACCGGTGCTCGGATCACTAGAATCCTGTTGGGAAATACACCGTGACAGAGGGAAAAAGAAATGTAGATCTCGGGGCAAAAATATACTCCGTACGAGGTTATCAAGTGGTGTGCCGCCGTTATAGGCATACAGCAGTACAGTACCAGGTATGGTGTACTTCAACTGGAACGGTCTTCGTGGGGTGTCGACGCCCGTCTCTCTGGTGCACGCACGCATACGCAGAGGGGTGCGGCCGGGAGTTCCGGGGAGGCCGGGGAAGACGATGGAGAGGTGCGGTGGAGATACCACCGGGGGGTCCCTGACCGTCGCCAGGTGAGCGTACCGGGTGCGCGTGCTACTGTGTGCGGCCTACTAGCATTCGGGGAGCGCGGGGCAGAAATGACGGGTACCCCCCCCC